TATTGCTTGGCAGGTGTCTCGCGGCGACCTGAATGACCGGTGCATCACGATTGCAGATGCTGTCCGTTCAGAGGGTTACAGCACATATATGAGTGGCAAGTGGCATATTTCCCGACACACTGGTCCAGACGGTCCCTAACACAGTTGGCCCTGTCAGCGCGGTTTTGATAACTACTATGGAATTATCACAGGTGCAGCCAATTTTTGGAAGCCAAACACCTTAACACTGAGTATCACACCACCGGCTTGATAGTGATCTGAGATTACTTTATCCAGAAGGATATTTCTTTACAGATGCTGTCAGCAATGAAGCGGTGAAATTTATTCAGAAGCACCACGATAAAAAAGCTGATACTCCGTTTTTCACTTATGTGGCATACACCGCACCGCATTGGCCCTTGCATGCCCACGAAGAAGACATCGCAGAATACAATGGACGTTTCGCGGCAGGTTGGGATGAACTCCGAGAAGAACGGTTGTCACGGATGCGCGAGATGAAACTTTTGGATGAATCATGGCGCGAGCTAACTGAGCGAGTTTAGACAGGCCGGCACACGGCGAATCCGTCGCCGCCACCGTGAGCGAGGCGCGATTTACGAGTGGAACACGACGCTTATGTGCGAGTCTATCTTGCTGCACAATCACAATCCCCGCAGTGGATGCACGCGATAGACGAATCATCAATCACTACTTGAAGAGAACAGGTCAATTAGCAACACTCAACACACGCTGAATCCTGTTTTAGCAGATAACGGAGGATGTGCGGAGGAACTCGGTGGTCCGCCCGCGAGACGCGATGGGGGTTCGCTCATCAGCACGACAGTACCGACCTCTGAGATCGATAAACCTGTTATCTCGATGGAGTAACGTATCGAGCATATGCCCGGTCCTGAAACTACTTATCAGAGTTATGGTGTTCCGTGGGCAAATCTGTCTAATACTCCGTTCCGCTTGTATAAGCACTGGGTGCATGAAGGTGGAATTGCTACGCCGCTTATTGCTCATTGGCCCAATGCTATAATCGGGCTGGAGATTACTGACGGCGACGGTACGCCGGCGATCAACCCCGACGACAACTGCTGATCAATTATGGGCAACGTGCCTAGTGTTAGGTCTCCCGGGGTGCAGTACCACCCCGCAACACGTACGACATCACCCAAGGCCTCCGCTCTCGGACTGGTACGCCGATTTGCCTTAGAAGGAACAAGTTTAGTCCCGATTTTTGATGATAAAGATAACGGTAAAGACGTCCTTCTTTGGGAACATGAAGGCAATTGTGCTGTGCGTCAAGGGGATATGAAACTTGTCTGTAGATTTCCTGGTGAATGGGAACTCTACGATTTGCAGGCAGAACGGACAGAAATTAATAATATTGCTGACAAGCATCCGCAAAAGGTGAAGGAGTTGGATGGTCTGTATCAAGACTGGGCAAACCGCTGTTTTATCTATCCTTGGGATAAACTCAGAGAACACCGCAGACAACGTCGGCAGCAAAAATAGCAAGTTGTATAATACCCAATTAACCCGATTTGTAGCGCGAGGTCCCCGTGCCTCGCAATGCTAATCGCTATTAGAAAACTTCTAATCAAGTTAATTTGGTATTATTTGTCAGAATTGGTATAATATCCATATATTTTCAGATTTTACTATAAAATGAAATAGGAGAGAAATGATGATTGAAATAGGTGGACAGACGTTCGCGTCGGTTGCGGATGTGCGGGAGTACGTTTCTAACATTTTAAACAATGCCCCATTTGATGAACCACTATCAGAAACAGATACGAAACTGATTCATGAACTTTTCTTGCACCATCCAGAGGCAATGGAGAAAATAGGTGGCGAGTCTGTTGAGTATTTTAAGGTCGGTAAACATCCACAGGCTGGGGCACGCGCGTTTTGTATAGTGCGTTCGGATGGTGTCGAGGAAACATTCAGTATGAAAAAGTGTGTCGGGGTGGGCGCGAAAAGTCACAGCGGATGTGAGTAAAGCAAAACCAGCTGCGAAGAAAAAACCGGCACCCCAGCAGAAACTTTTGGATGTAGGAGAGAGAGTAAATGTGGAGCAGGATTCTTACTCCGCAGGAATATATGCACTTCTGGATCGGTTTCAACGGGTTATGGCACTTCACGCTGAACTCGGAAAAGAGATTGAGCAGATACAAAAATTGTTAGCAGATGAATCAAAGCGATAAGTGGAGCAAAGAAATGTAGGTAACGTATTATACCAAATTAACTTGATTCGACGTCTTCAGATAAAGTCGGCATTGCAAGGAGAATCCAGAGACCTCACAGGACAAATCGGGTTAATTGGGTATTAGAAGCAAACAGACTATTGTCTTCATTGTTACTCCTTTTCTGGTGAAGCCGTGACATCCCACAAAAACACAATACCGTCTTCTATACTTGCACTGGCGAGTGTCTTGCCATCAGGACTAAATGAAACGTTTGTGATAATACCCGTATGCCCTTTAAACGTTCGGATCGTATTGCCTGTGGCAACATCCCATAAACGAACGGTATTGTCCAAACTTGCACTGGCGAGTGTCTTGCCATCAGGGCTAAATGAAACGCTTGTGATACCTTCCGTATGTCCCTTAAGCGTTCGGAGAGTTTTGCCTGTGGCAACGTCCCATAGCCGTACGGTCTTGTCCTCATACCCCGCAGAAGCGAGTAGCTGCCCATCAGGACTGAACGATACACTATTGGCAGGACTCGTATGCCCTTCAAACGTTCGGAGAGTTCTGCCTGTGGCAACATCCCATAGATAAATGGTATTGCCCTATATCCGTGGAGGCGAGTAGCTGCCCATCAGGATTGAACAACACCCTATGGACAGTACTCGTATGTCCCTCAAGCGTGCGGAGAGTCGTACCGGTGCGAACATCCCATAAAAGAAGGGTACTGCCACTGCCCTGAAGCGAGCAACTGTCCATCAGGACTATACGATATGTCTACTGGTTCGTCCGCATTTCCTTTAAGCGTTCGTGTGTTTGTGCCTGTGGCAACATCCCATAGCCGAAGGGTCCTGTCCTTATCCATAGAAGCGAGTGTTTTTCCATCAGGACTGAACAACACCCTATAGACAGTACTCGTATGTCCCTCAAGGGTTCGGAGCGTTGTGCCTTTAGCAACATCCCATAACCGAACGGTCATGTCCTTACTTCCTGAAGCAAGTAGCTGCCCATCAGGACTGAACGATATCCCATAGACAGAACTCTTATGCCCCTTAAGCGTTCGGAGAGTCGTACCTGTTGCGAACATCCCATAAACGAATGGTATCGTGCGGACTCTTCGTAACAAGTAGCTGCCCATCAGGACTAAACGATATGATGCTACTAAGAGAATTCGTATGTCCCTCAAGCGTTCGGAGAGTTTTGCCGGTGCGAACATCCCATAGACGAATACTGTCTCTACCTGCACTGGCAAGTGTATCTCCATCAGGACTAAACGCTACGCTCAGGACACCATCAGGCGTATTTCCTCTGAGGGATCGGATGTGGCGACCAGTGTTGACATCCCATAAACGAATGGTATTGTCCCAACCCCCAGAGGCGAGCGTCTTGCCATCAGGACTGAACGACGCGCTACTGACCATCATTCCAGCCCACTGTAGTGTACGGATAATTGTTCCGGTGCGAACATCCCATAAATTAATGTAACTGCCTCTCCCCGAAGCGATCAACTGTCCATCAGGACTAAACTTTATGTCTGTTGGTTCGCTCAAATTCCCCTTTAGCGTCTGTATGTTTGTGCCTGTGGCAATATCCCACAAATGAATGATATCTTCGTAGCTCCCTGAAGCAACAATCAGTCCATCGGGACTAAACGCTACGCTCTTGACAATCAACTTACCTGTCACCTCAAACTTTCGGATCATATTACCTGTGGCGACATCCCATAAACGAATGGTTTTGTCCCCACCCGCAGTGGCAAGTGTCATTCCATCAGGACTGAACGACACACTTCTGACAGAACCCTTGTCCCTCTTAAGCATTCGGAGAGTTTTCCCAGTGCGTACATCCCATATAGGAATGGGCATGCGGCCTCCAGCAGCAAGTAGCCGCCCATCAGGACTAAACGATATGTTTCGGGCAATATTTGTATGATCCGTATGCCCTATAAGCAGATTGAGTTCTTCACCTGTCTGTGCATCGTAAATCCAAATACCAACGCCACTTGCCACTGCCAGTCTTGTGCCATCGGGGGAATAGGCGATTTTTATTATGTTTCCTTACCAAGACGGGCTTTCGCGCCTTCGGGTAAATGCCACTTTGTATAATCTTGAGCAAAGGTGGTTGGTGTAAAAGTAAATATCACTAAAAGAGCCGTTAGAAGCAAACATACTATTGTCTTCATTGTTACTCCTTTTCTGGTGAAGCCGTGGCATCCCATAAAAGCACCGTGCCGTCTACCGCCCCACTGGCGAGGGATTTGTCCTACAGAATAATCGGGGAACTAAATTTTATATCCGTCCGTATTTTTTGTTATGCACTGCATGCAAGCATTTTTAAGCAGACCGGGTTTGGCACTTCTGCGACGTCTCCTGTCGCAGTCAGTTCTCTGTAGTCAGCATCAACTGCAAATGTTACAATCGTATTTGTCGATTGATTGGCAGCTAAAAGGAAAGTGCCCTCAGGATTCAACCCAAAGTTCCGTGGTGCTTGTCCCTGCGTTGATTCACAACCGATATAGCTCAGCATTCCGGTTTCTTCATCAATCGCACAGATAACGATGCTATCATGCCCACGATTTGACCCGTAAAGAAATTTGCCAGAAGGATGGACATGAACGTCCGCACAGTGACTTGTGCCATCAAAGTCTTCGGGTAACGTGTAGAGATTGTCTGGATTTCAGTGAGCGTTCCTGTATTTGCGTCATACCGAAAAGCGGTGAAAGTAGAATCTAACTCATTAATCACATACGCATATTTACCGTTGGATGAAAATCGAGGTGCGTTGGACCTGCTCCCGGGTGTACTCGCGCCCACGGTTGTGCGTTAGCAGTGAGGCTCCCATCTTCCAAATTTAGTTTGTAGATGAGAATTTTATCAAGTCCGAGGTCTGGTGCAAATGCAAAACGGTTTTCAGGATCAATCATAATTGAATGTGCGTGGGGTTCAGATTGCCGTCTCGGATTGACACTGGAACCAGTGTGTTGAACGAAATCGGAAGCTTCACCAAGCCTTCCGTCTTTCCCAATTGGGAATACTGCTACGCTTCCACCCCCATAATTTGCTGCAAGTAGATATTTGCCTGTCGCATCAACACTCACATGGCAAGGTGCGCCGCCACCCGTAGCGCGTTGGTTAAGGAAACTAATCTCTCCTGTGCTTTGATGGATGTAAAATGCTGTGACTGCACCGCTTGCTTTGCCTTCAAATTCTCCGATCTCGTTTACGGAGTAAAGATAACGACCACGCGGGTGAATATCCAAAAACGAAGGATTCACCACCCCTGTTATCTTACTGGAATATTCTAATGCTCCAGTCTCACTATCCAAGCGATAAACATAAATCCCTTCGCTGTCTCCATGTGTATAAGTTCCAATATAAACGTAATAGTCTTGATTGTTTTCTTGAGCCATTGCTGATACTCTCCTTATAGGATACCGTCTAAGATATAAATTATCGTGAGTCCAATATAAAAAATAGGAGTTTGTGATAGTCGAAGAATTCCTATGGCTGTGAGGTTAGAGTACCCTGGGCGTCGTCCATGATATTATATCACTTTTTTGTCGTATTGACGACTATTTATTGCATTTGGAATATATGTAATTTATCAATCTTCCCGCCAAGCCCGCATGCTTTAGCTTGCGGGATGTAGACGGGCGTTGCATTTGAAAGTCAAAAAAGATTTGACTTTCGCCTTAAAATGTGGTATAATATTACTAACACTTTGGACACCGTTCTGACCCTGCACTACCTGTGCAGGAGGTGTCCGCTACCGTCAGAAGTAGTCAAAAAGTGCTAAGTGTCAATACCACTCTAAAAGTATTTGGGCAGTTTCCGCGTCCGTTTCGGAGCAGAGGTGAAAGTCTGCACGTTGTATTGCTGCCCACTTTTGAACTTTTCTATCCTTTTGGATAGAGGCAGGCGGGGATAGCCAAGATTTTGCTTGATATGCCCGAAGCGATTTAATTCACGCGACGGGGAATCGCCTGCTGGTGGAGACAACGTAAGACGGTTGACCTTCGGGAAAACCGCTATTGTCTACGAAGCCGAAGCCCCATGCTTTAGCTTGTGGGTGCTATCACTAATGTAAAGGTCCGAGGGGGCAATGATCGTCTGCGGCGCGACTATAAACGGGTTTCTTCTTCAGATTACAATGCCATCTATAGTGACATCAAAAAATAATGGGACACGTTTTGAAAGATGGGCGAGGAGACCTCGCCCCTACGACCTATCTTTTGTTCAAGGAAATTGTCTACTTAATTGTAACGTGAGTTTGATATATAGCAAATTCTAAACATAAATGGACATTCTCGTAGGGGTTAGGTTACCTAACCCTACGGGCGAGAAGCCCTCGCCCCTACGAGAAGCCCGACATCTTGTTTTTATCAAATTCACGTTAATTGTAGGTTTACTATAGACCAATTAACGGATTGTAGTGCGAGGTCCCCGTGCCTTGCAATGCTTGACTTTATCGGAAAACTTCGAATCAAGTTAATTTGGTATAAATCGGGCGGACAAAGTTCTCCTACAAGAGAAAACGTGATTAATGTCAAAACTATACACACCATCATAGCGTTACGTACCTTGCTATCAATGTCTGTATATAATATACTTATATAATAGCAAAAAATATGATTAGAAACGTGTTTATAGGACGTTATGTCCAGCCTTCTCACGTCTGTTTTTTCACTGTTTGCTTCCTTTTACTGACAGTGCCTGTTTTGGGACAGATAAAATATCCGTTTGAAACTGCGCGTCCACATTATGTGGGTGCCCGCGCATTAGCGATGGGAAACGCCTTTACCGCTGTTGCTGACGATGCTACAGCAGGGTTTTGGAATCCTGCGGGTTTGATTCAGTGGCAGGGAGTTAAGCTTTTCGGTGTCACGAAGTTCATGATCGGAGTTATTACCGGTTTGACCCGAAAGGTGTCGGTTTTAGTAGTGGCATGGTACAGTCTCTATTGGGGCAACAAGATTGCGCTTGATGTTCCAAGCGGTATTCCCGATTATAATTACTACAGTTTTGCACGTCAACTTGGTGCATATCTTGCGCTGGATTGAGCCTCAAATTCAAACGGCGGCATCCTTCCGATTACTATCAATTCTTTGGTTATCACACTTCTTACGACATTGGTTTACTCTTTAAACCGCGTCCTGAACTCAAATTCGGGTGTCTGTTGCAGAACCTTGAGGGACGTGGTATTCAGTGGGTGACACTCGGTACCGCCTACCATTATGATTCATATCAATTCTCGGCAGACATTTCACTATCTACCGAAGGTGCGGAACCGGAGTATTACTTTGGGGTCGAATGGGCACCGTCATCGTTTTTTTCTATGCGAGTCGGCAGTTCGAACGGTTTTTACACGGGTGGCGTTGGCGTGCGGATTATTGATGTGTATATTAATTATGCCCGTATTTATGAGGAACGTTTAGTATCGGATTTTATTTCTGTGGAAATCAAGTTTTGAATGTTTTGTGATGTAATATAGGACAACGGGCGGGCATAGAGAACCGCCCCTACGATAAAGATGAGATCCTCTGAATGGAAATCGGGCGGATAAAGCCCTCCTACAAGAGAGTAAGTGAGAGAGGTTCTCACCTACTTTTCATCAAACTTACCAAATTAAATTCCAATCTATCGGTGCGGTTAGGAAACCGCACCATAGGCGTCAATTTAGGGATCCTCCAGGGCCGGTAGGTGCGGTTTCCTAACCGCACGAGTCGTTCGCGAAAACAGTTATCTTGCACTGATCTTTCTCAAAAGCACTCAGAATCAGTATCTATCTATGGTCTCTCAATGACGCGGTATGAAAATGCTAAAAAATACTAATGATAAACCTCCATATGTGAAAAAAGCACTTTATTTTCAATACAAAATAGAATAAATTGTCCATTAAATGGGTTTTATAGGTATTTGTATTGATGTTATTTAGGTTAGAGGAATTAGAAAACTTCACTCATGTAAAAGTGTTGTGCGTTTGTTTCCACGAAAGTCACAGTCAATGGTCATAGTTTGTAAAAAGTTTAATTTGCACTTATTTTTACATGAGCCGAACAATTGTGAGAAATGCAGTTGCAACAATTCCACAGTATCCGGTGCGGTTAGAAACCGCACCTACCATGGGTGGGGGCTAGTGCCGGTTAGAAACCGCACCTACCAGGTTGGGGACCGCTAATTGACGCTAATGGTGCGGTTAGGAAACCGCACCATTAGCGTCAATTTAAGCAGCTGTCCGTTGGGTAGAACTTGCGAAACCTAACCTACGGACTGTTCTTATATGTGTTGTAGCACAAACTGTATGAAGTTTAAGTATTTAAATCGGTAATCCCGATTTCCCCAGAGCCGGTAGGTGCGGTTTCCTAACCGCACCGGAACTTATGGAATAGGCGTCCGATAACCGATTTTCGCGAACGATTCGGTGCGGTTAATGAAGTTAAATAAAATAATTCGGTAATTTTTGTTTTTGTGTTATCCTATTGTCCAGGAGGTATCTGATCATGCCAAAACACCATAAACTTGAACTTAGTGAAAATGAACGTCAAAAACTCGTTGAACTACGCGATAAAGGCGAACCGGCTTATCTACGGGAACGGGCTGCTGCCCTGCTAAAAATACACGAGGGCTCTTCTCCTCACAAAGTCGCACTCAAAGGACTTTTGAAAAAACGCGACCCCGACACTATCTACACCTGGCTTCGCCGCTACCGAGAAAACGGCATTCAAGGGTTGTCTCATAAACCCGGTCGTGGACGCAAACCTGCTTTTTCACCCAAATCGTCTGAAGAAGCCGAGATGGAGGTCCTCAATACCATCGGACAG